CCCCCCCCCCCCGCATTGGCTGCGGTCCTGGACGGCCTAAAAAAAACCTTTTTTTTTTTTAAATGTGCAAAACTTTTCCCTCCCCCCCGGTGTCGTTTCACAGCAGGAGGGTTTCTGTGAGCGGTGCAATGCAGCTCTGTGGTTGCTTCTGTAAGGAGAGTGCTTAGGATGTATATTATATAGGTTTATCGAGCTGGTGCTCGGGGGTGGGGGGTTCAAGTAGTGTCAGCGGTGCTTAATCTCTGAGCGGGTGGATGTAAGGTGTTGTATATGGAAGTAGGGTGTTGGATTCAGCAGTACTGATGTTCTCATGCTGCCCATTTTCATAGTGAATTCATAGAATCATAGACTGGCCTGGATTGAAAAGGACCACAATGATCATCTCTTTTCAACCCCCCTGCTATGTGCAGGGTCACCAACCAGCAGACCAGGCTGCCCAGAGCCACATCCAGCCTGGGAATTGGGTACAAACATCCAACAGATGTCACCCAGGATGGGATGCAGACACTTTAAAGACAACTGCAGGTTGGCAAAGGGACCCATTAACAGCTGTGAGATGCAGTGTGTGTGACAACACCTTGATTTGTTCAAATAAGGGAATAACTGGCAATGACACCTGCAGTAAAAGCTACAGGCTGCTTCTTAGATCACACTGTCTTTCTCCCAATGCTGAAACTCCGTAGCACCCCGTTGTAATTTTAACCTCCCTTATGATTCACAGCATATTTCCTTACAGGGAAGAACAGCGTATTTCCTTACAGGGGAAAAAAAAAGAGCCCAGCACTGTCACACTGCTTCCCTGGCTCGCTGCCCGATAGCGTTGCATCAATACCATACAGTGCATTACATCAGCTGCTTCTGCTTTCCCTGCACCTCTGGCTCTGCTGGTGCACATATGCAGCATCCCAGCTGTGCTCTGCAGTTGGCAATTCCTGCTCTGCAGAGCTGAGGTGCTGGGAAGGGCACTGCTGGGGCAGTGTGTGGATGTGTGCAGTGTGAGCTGATGCAGGAGGAGGTGTTGATAAAGGGGTAAAGCCCAGAGGGAGCCACGGTGAGAGGTGGAGGAATCTCCTGGCTCAGCATTGTTGGGGTGGGAAAGACAGGAAGAGACCCCGTGCCATTTGGGAACAGCTGGAGCTTGTGTTGCTCTGTCCTTATTCTGGATGACCTGAAAAGCTGCTCTATGAGGCAGTGTTGCCCAAATTATGGCCTAAAATCAACAGTCTGGCTCACGGTTGAAGGAACCCAAAGTCTTGCTTGCATGTCCAAACCTGTTTGCAGTCCATGTGCTGCTTTCTTCCCTTTTTTTCCTGGATCCTGGACCTGCTGTGCGACTCACTGCCCACATGAGGGCCGGTGGCAGGCGGACACTGAGCTCCTCAGAAAGGAAAGCATTGGGTGCATTGGTTTTGTTCCCTCTTCCTCCTTGCTGAGCTGGTCCCTGTGCTGTGTGAGCAGTGAGTCAGCCCTGTGCTCACATCCCGCACGTAGAGGGGACTGCAGCCATCCCCGCAGCGCTGCTGGGTGGTGCTTGGGCTGCAGGGGAAATTTGGGGTGGTTTTTTTTTTTTTTTTCTTCTTGCAAATTCTGAATGCACTTAGGAAATTTTATTGCAAGACTGGCTGTAAAAGTTGCTAAAGAGGCTGTTCCTCCCTACTGTCTATTTTTTTTTTTTTTTTTCCTTCTTAAAGTCCTTATCTTCTCTGCCAAGTTGGCGGCAAAGGTTGCAGCCAATTCTTCGGTTCGAGCCACGTTTTTCCTCTCTGCAGCTCTTTGAGAAACGAGCGCTGCAAAAAAGACAGCCAGAGGAGACAGCAATCAGACAGGGCAAGTTCAAGGTCGTGCTCCTGCCCAGGGCAGGCTCTGCTCACACCCGGAGTGCTGCAAGCTGCAGGATGGTGCAGGGTGTAATCCCAGGCAGTGCAGAGGGTCTGAGCGGTGACACAGCCTGAAAAATAAGAAGTTAGAAAGAAAAGCAACAAAACAAAGCAGGCAGGATTGTTTTGCCTCCTGAACCCAGGAACGCTGTATACATAAAATGCAGAAGGAGATGTCTGCAATCACACTGTGCTGATACCTGGAGCTGCAGGAGCTCAGAGCTCTGGTGATGGTTTGGGTAACCGAGTGGTTGGTGATCACCTGCAAACACCTCTGATGGCAGCACGGTGCTGATTTAATTAAAGAATATTTAATTCAGTGTTGTTTGGAGCTGCAGTAACGACATCTATACAGTCTCGTTGTGTGGACATTTAAATTGGATTAAGGGTGGATAAAAAGATTAATGATTACCATTAAATTAGACTAATTTTAGCCGGTTCCTAATCTTATTTAGGAGAGTCTGCACAGGGAGGTTGTCAGGTTTAATTGCAATTTTGATTAAAGCAGGCATTATGGCTGGGAAAACGACAAGAGTCGAACGTCATCGGGAGGAAGAGCTCTGCAGGGCAATGAGGCTTAACCCAAATCCCATGGTGTGAAGGGGGGACATGTGGGGGCTGGGAAGGGGATGCCCTGAGCATGGCCATGCGCTGAGCTTCTGGGTTTGGTCTGTGACAGTGTAAAGAGGGGAGAAATTCTGGTGTTTACCACAGTGGGGTGATGGCATGCACTGGTGGTGTCTCTGGTCTGTGGGGAGGGACAAAGTGGCCACTGGGAGCAGAACACGGTGTGACTTCTGCAATCACCACCTGCAGTGCAGGAGGGGACGCAGCTCAGAGAGTGCCTGCGTTTATTGCAAACCTTCTCCTGTTGATGAATGTGGCTGTGCCAAGTTCTTGCTGTCCAGTAGCATCGTTCCCTGCCTCTTAGTGAGGCAGTTCCTCTATGGGGACATGGAGCACATCGGATCAGGGCTGGGGCAGTGCCCTGTGCAGGCTGAGCAGAGGGCACCGGGGCAACCCTGGGTTGGATCTAAAGTAGGTCAGTGATTTTTTGGGTTCAAAGTTTTATTTGCTTTCAAGCAAGGTGCAGGGGTTTCTGGTAATGAGCAGGAATTCATTAGAAATTCCTGAAATGCCCATGTGCTCAGGACAGTGCTGTCATTGGGACGTGGTGAGGTGGGCAGTGAGCTGCACTCAGCAGCATTTGTCTGGGTGAGCTTTCAGCTGTGGCTTCCTCCTTATAAGAGCCCAAGTCCCATCAAGGCACAGTGCTGATGGGGGTCCCCTGCACCAAGCTGTGTCCCTGAATACCCACCTGCTTTCTTTCTGAGACTTAAACATTTGCAGCAGATATTCCATAAGTGAGGCTGTTCTTGCTTGAGCTTGCAGAGCCTGGGGCACCGAGGAGCTGTTTGCACTGAAGCTGCTGTGGGAAGATGAAGTGAAAATTCTGGCAGCAGCCTGTCTGCTGACCTGGGTCAGGGAATGGCTGATACCCCCCAGCACCAGCAGTGCAGCTTCATCTTCCAAAATGGTGAGCACTAAGCAGAGCAAAAGCCAACCTGTCTGTCTGTCCTTGCTTTGGGTGATTGAAGCAGACAGAAGAGATGCCCAACAGCAGACATTCAGCCCAGACTCGCAGGATGGCTGCATCCAGCACCACCAGGAGCTGTGCAATAGCCCATACCCACCACAGCCCTCCTCCTCTCCTCTCCTCTCCTCTCCTCTCCTCTCCTCTCCTCTCCTCTCCTCTCCTCTCCTCCCCTCCTCCATCCAGGGTGGTTTGCTGCAGTTTCTCGCAGTGCTCATTAAGTGCTGAGCCCTGGGCTGCATGGGGCTGAGCTGGGGGTCCCTGTGCCCCACCTGGATGAGAAGTGCCAGGACGCCATCCGTGCTCGTGCTTCAGCTCTCAGGTCCTCAGCAAAATGCTCCGGTGTTCTCCCTACACCCCCCAACCCCCAGCTGGGGTGGAGGAGGATTGCTGGGCACAGGAATGCAGCAGCCCCACATTGCTGAGCAGTGGCTCAGGACGACACACCCAGCTCTGCTCCTGCACCAGGCACTGTGGGCATACCTGGGCAGGAACCAACACTGCACACTTTGTAGCTGGAGGGCAGGATTTTTTCCCAGCTCTGTTGCACGCCTTTTCTAGAAGCTCCACGGCCAGGCAGCTCCCACCAGCAACGCATTGGGCACACAGCTTCAGGGTCACCTGGCACGGTGTGATGGGGCACAGGACGTGATGTTGGGCTGAGTCAGTAAAGTAAATAGCAAATCTTCCTGCAAGTTTTCCTTGGGGTTTGTTTAGACCGTTAAAAAAAAATTGGTAGAACAAGAGCATGTGTGTGTGTGTGGGGGGGGGGGGTATGTGTGGTTTTGGAGATTTGAGGAGGTAAATATGAAATTTGCACCTCTGAGTTCAGCAGTGCTATGGGTGCTGGAGCTGTGCCTTGCTGCGTGGTGATGTAAAGCACTGGTAGCACTGAAGCACAGCAGAGGTCTGAATTAGGCCCCAGGCAGGGGAGAAGGGCTGCTCTCGTGGTGACTTTCCTGCAGGCTCCCAAGGAGCCGTTAAAGCCACCCTGGTGTGATAAATACAGTCTCTTTGGAAACGTGGCACTTCTCTTGGTACCCAACTGAGAATTGTGCTTCTCAGAAAACGTGGCTTTTCTTTGCCTTTTCTTTTGTCACAGCTGGTTAGTTTGCAGTACTGTATTTTTGTAGATTGTGTAAGATGAGGTTGAGAACTATTTTGTGCCTCGAGGGGCTCCGCTGCTGGAGACAGGAGAGCTGCGTGCTGCAGCCTGCACAGCCCCATCCCTGCTGCAGGTCATCTGTGGGCTGATGCCTGGTGTGTGAACACACAGCACGGCTGCGACTCACACAGAATCTCACTGGGCTTTAAATCCCCAGGTCGGGGTGCACCAAACCTTTGCATGAGGGTGGGCACCTCGCCCTGCTGGCTGTGCACCCTGGCAGTGGGGAGAAGGAGACTGAAGCCCTTGGGTGCAGCACCCACCTGAGCCCTGAGCACACCTGGGGCACATCCTGGGATAGGGACATCCCTATAAGGATGTGCCTTGAGGCACTCGATGCCATTTCCTGCAGGCCTGCTTGTTCACACCACTGTCACACCGTAAAGTGACACTGTGGCTGTGTCTGGAGCTCCCCGGAGTTGGGTGGGGATGTCTGGAGTGCCTGAATCACGCCTTTATCACTGCTACACCCACGGGCACCTCTCTTCCAGGTGAGGCAGACGCTTGTTAAAAGCCAAACAGGAAGGCAACAGCGCTTGGAGACGGGTGTGACTGCAGGGATCAGCTGCTGGGGACAGCCCTCGCCACCAGGCAGGTACGTGGTGGGGACCTGGGGCACCTCAGGCACTGGGAATGGGGTTCTGGTTGCACAGGACAGCAGTAGGGGGAACTTCCTGGAGTGCAGCGTGCTGCTGGCTGCTCAGCTCCTCTAGCAGCTGCATTTATCAGTGCCCTCTGCCCAGGCTCAGGGCCATTGGGATCTTCCAGCTGGAGCTATGATAGGCAGCATAGCCAGGCTGGAGGACAGAAACATGGGGTGGCTGTGGGCTCCTCGGGCACTGCTTGCTGCTGTGTGTGTGCCTGTGGCTTTCTGGAGTCCCCAGAGCCAGGCAAGCAGAAATTAGAGCTCTGCAGACAGCAAGGGGCCGTTCCTGCATGTGTGGTTCACCTCAGCAACAACATAAAGATCCACAGATAGTGCCTGGGGAGGGGACTGCCTGGTGCTCAGCTTGGGGGACCCTGGGTGTGCCTCACCTGTTTGGTGAAGGATTCCTTGTGCTCATCTGTTCTAATGCACAGTCTGAGGGGTTCCCTCTACATTACTCCTGATTTTCACCCACTAGATCAATTAAAATTAGATAAATAAGGAATGTAAAGTGCCCAGCATGAGGCTTAAGTTGGTATTTTCTGGTATTTCTTGCTTACGCTGCAAATTCCTCTCTAGGTGTGTCCTTGTCCTTGGCGTGATGGAGGCTTGCTGCCAGCTTTGGCTGTGGGCATTATTTGTCCTCCTGGGTAAGGCTCAACATTCCATGTTTCTGGAAAAAATGGGAGGGAAAGCTAAGTGTTTGCTGCCTATTGGAAATGACCTTGATCTTGTAATTGGGTTTGTAAATGAGTACTGCAGTGAGTTATATTGCCTAGAGCCTCCATGTGTGCCGTGGTTTAAGCAAGGTGAGTTTATGGATAGCTAAATTTCTTGCAGAGGAAATTGGATGATTATGTTTATTAATGAGAAAGGAACGATAGGAAGGTTTTCCCTTTGAGGCTAAGAAATGCTGCTAGGTAAGCACTGTATTAGCAGCATTGCAGCTGGGAGATTGGAGTTCAGTAATAGTGCTCTGGGAAAAGGATGCTCTGTGCTGAGCAACCTCCTGCAGGGCCTGTGGGTACATGGAGGGAAACCAGACTGGGCTGCTAAGTACAGTGAGCAGGGAACTGAGCATCCCTGGAACCGAGACGTTGGGATTCTGGAGATGTGTCCTATCAGGAAGAATTTCAGGAGCAATACCTACGAAAAGCTATTTTAAGTGCTATGTACTATTAAAAACAAAGGCAATTCAGGGATGAATTCTCATCCTTTCTGGCATGCCCAGGTGTAGCTCTGTCCCCGGCCAACCTGCTGGCTTAGTCACTGTGTGCTCCTCTCCTGCCATTGCAGCCTGCCCACAGCCAGGGGTAGCACAGCCAGCCTGCTCCCATGGGGCCTGCTATCCCCCCAGGGGGGACATCCTGCTGGGACGGGGCCAGCACCTGATGGCTTCCTCCACCTGTGGCCTCACCAAGCCTGAGACATACTGCACACCGCACGGAGAGGTACGTGCTGCTCCCTCTGCTCTAAGCCCTGTTTAGGGATGCTGATGCCTTTACCCGACCTTCCTACCCTTTACAACATCTTTGATCTACTTTGGGTGTTTGTCTCTCTCCCTGCATGCTTTGTGTCCCCTCCAGCCCTGCAGTCCTCCTCTGCACCACATCAGGGCAGAGAAGCTGAGCACGAGCAGGGAACAAGCTGTGCAACGAGCAGAATGGAAGTTTTTGCAACCAAAAATCCAAAGCCATCCAGTCCCCAGCCTCCTTAGCTGTAAGCTAAATTCATTTTTCAATTGTCAGAAATGGGAACATTCCAGGGCTTTTGCTGGAAGAGCTGCTGAGCCAAGCGGCTGTTTCCAATTAAATGGAGCGGGGGTAGGAAGCGGTGCTCAGAGGATAACAGCTGCAGCTGCATGTTCCCAGGCTCCAAAGCTGTAATCAGAATCCAAAGTCAGAGCTAATGGCTCATTCCACAGCATTTTTCAGCTCTGTGCTCAGGCAGGGGTGCTGTCTGTGAGGCGAGTGCTTCCTTATACCTCTCTGCATTAGTCTGGAAATGTGGCTGTGCTGGAGAGCTTGGAAGGGAATGGGCTCAGTGCAGGGCAGGCAAGGAGCACCTTGGGAGGGTGCTTGGATGAGGTGCTCAGGAGGAAAGGACACAGCAGTCCTCCATGAAGATGTGCTTTGTGCAGTGAAATCCAGCTGGAGTGAGTCAGCTTTCTTCTGTGAAGTACCTTGAGCACAAATACCTGTTTGGAATGGAATTGGTGGGTGAGCTCCCGTGGTGGGAGGCAGAGAGGTGGTGGTGGCCAGCTGGTCTTCAGATCCCTAAAACATCCAGGTTTTGTATTCCTTAGAGCTTGTCAGTGGAATCAGCACTTTATGCTGATAAGTACTGAGGTTAGAAGGAATTTGGAACGGTTAACGGTATGTTGAGTTGGATTCATCACTTCTAGCTTTGAGAATAGAAGCTTTGTGTATTTAGTGCCTTTCCTTTGCTGGAATCAGAGACCTTCGTTTCTGTTCTGCAGCTGTGATGGCTGCTACAAGTTGTGAATACTCCAGCTTCTAACTTTGGAGACATCCTCATGCATTTCCTAATTAAAGCTAAAATGAGTCTCTCAAACTCGCTTTTTTTCACATATTCTCATATTTCTCATTCCATATAATAGTCAAATTCACTGACTCTTCTGACTCTTTTTTGTTACATGCCTGGCGCGTGTGTTGGTGCCAAATAGGTACAAATTTGGAGTGGGTTTTGCAATGTCAGCAGAGAGCATGGGATGAAGGGTTGCTGTGGGTGCTGATGCCCGGTGCCAGCTGGCTGATATGAGCCGTCTGCCCGCCGCCCCGGGGGCTTCTTTTGCAATTCTGCTGGGCTGCTCTATTGCACCCCCTGCTCCATTGTCTGCTCCGGATCCCTCTAACCTTTATACTTTGCACCACTGATTGCTCCATCCCTTGGAGACTCAGGATTGCCATTTATAGCGCAAGGGACTCTTGCGATGATTCGAAAAGAGAAGGGGGAGGAAACCAAACGGACCAATGGCCTGGCTTGGAAATCACTCAGAGCTCAGGAAATGGCTGTTCAAGGTGGCAGGGAAAGCAAAGAGAAAAACTTAAAAAAAAAAAAAAAAAAAAAAAAAGGTGTCCCTGAATTTGATGTCCTGAAGGCACCGATGCATGTGGAAAGACTAAGACAGGTGTGATTCAAGGCTGGTTAGCTCATCTCTGTCTGGATGCTATACATAGCACTTTGGTAGCAATGTGGGTAACCAAGGGGAGGCTCGGTGTGGCTTTCATATGGATTAGCAGCTCCTGGCCTGGCTACCCCCTCCAAGGACAGCACGAAGGCACTCACTCTGCAGCAACGTGCCCTGGCCTTCGTGTCGGAAGATGCTGTGTCCTCAGGGGCTGGCAGTGCTTTCAGCTGAAGGGCCTATTCAGAACTAGAAAAGAACTACAGTTGTAGTACCCAAGCCACTCTGCAAATCGCTGTGACATCTGTTGTTAAAGAACAGGCAAGAGAGGGAAAAGATGATTTGCCTTCCTTTAGTATTGCTGCTCTGTTTCCCACTTTTTGTGGTGGAGCAGTCTGTGGGCACGTGGCAGTTCTGTGGGTCTTCACATCCTGGCCCTGGGAAACATAGGATGTTAAATGTTGTTCACGTAGGGTTTTCTGCCTGCTTGCATTTGCTGTTTGTGGGCATTTGGTGGATGTGAGCAGTATGAGGTAGGAATCACCCAGATCCCTTCTCGTGCCATCCCTCCCTATGGTGCCCAAGCAAGGTTTTGGCTGCTCCCAAAAAACAAAGGCTGATGCTTGTGAAAGTGAGTATGTTGAAGAGTAATGCTTCTGTCTGCCTTGCTGCTACCATCTGATGGTTACATCTGTTTCCACCTGCATGAGTTGGCTTGATGCTGGTCCAAGCCATGCTGCCTGCTCCTTTGGGATTCCTGGGTGCGTTGGAATAGGAAAGCTCCCACTGAAACTCCTGTGCCCTGCAGCTTGTTTGCTTTCCAGACCCCAATCATGAATCAAGCTCAGGTCCTTTACACAGAAAAATGCCTCCTCAGAAGCAGGGAATAATTGTAGTCAGATGGAACTGAGGAGGTCCCCAAGTTCAAAGCAGGGCTTACGGTCCTGGGTGCTGCTTAGCAATGCTGAGGGTTTGCACCAAATAATTCCTGTCCTGCTGAAGTTAATTCAGCAGCTGTGGTGCTGCTCCATGCTATCACATCTCTGGCATTCAGACACACCTTGTTCCTGGTGCAGGGATATGTCTCTACCTGCAGCAATGCACAGAGGGAAAAGGCAGTTTCCCACTTTTCTCCTCCTCCATTCTCTGTATCTTTTTTTGCCACCTGAGTGCAAATTCCCACATATGCTCTCAGACATCACGTCACCCCTCGCAGAGTCAGCGGGGCCTCTACAATGCGTGGGGTGGGGAGCAGCTCGTGCAGCACAGATTTGCAGACTGTCATCGTGGCAGGCTTTAAGTGAAGCTTTTCTGAAGGGAAATGACGTGAGGACAGACTGGGTGAGGAAAACAGGCGCCCACATGCTTGCTTTCAAGCTGGAGGAATGAAGTTCACTTCCTTAGCCCTCATGCCTAAGATATTTGCCCTGCTGTTGTCCCCGGCCCTGCAATCAGCTCTGAATTCAGGGTCACCAGCAACAGCAGCTTGAGAGCAGAGTGCTCTGTGCTTTCAGCTCACCATGTTGCTTCTGACTGGCTCAACATGGGAATGGCATTGGGGTTATGGCTAAGACACACATCTATGCTTCAGAATTGAGGTACGGTCCTGTATTATGAACACAGTTTGCTCACAGGAGGTTTAGCTGCAGTGACACATCTATGGTCCTTCTACAGCATCTTCCCATGGAAAGCAGATGGAGCACATCCCTGCTTGACTGGCCTGGCGTGCAGTGCTGGCGTTAGCAGGGAATTTGTGGGACTGGAAAAGGGAATTGCATAAGAGCTCTGACAGGTGTCTTTGTTCCCAATATAACTTACTCTTGCTGCCAGCCCTATTTTTGAATAATGCTCCATCTCGCCGTATACATATAAATTCCTCCTGCCCTTCACTCCCCAAATAGAATTGGGACAGTGATTACTATCGCAATAGGATTTTAATTGCACAAGAGACACGAGGCTGCCGCATGGGAGGCTGCATGCCTGGAGCTGACTGGCACAGTGCTCTGACTCACAGAGCTGTGTTGGCACAGGACCACCAAGGTCCTGCAGTTCCTAAAGGTCTCTATTTCATGACCGGAGAGCAGCAGCTTCTCATATGTACTGAATGAGTAGCTTCAGTTTATTTTGAGTGATGCACCTCAGCCAGGTTTTATTTTAAGGGCTCTTTACTCATATTAAAATGGCAGCTACAGCTACTTAACATACTTTGGTCAGAGGCCATCAGCTTCAGATCGTCTGAGGTTTTCTGCCCCTACATGTGAGGAGGAAAAGTGAGGGAGGAAAGACAATGCCAGGCACCTCCCATGCATGGGGTGAGAGCAGAGAGCAGCACGAGGCAGAGTGGCAGCAGGGCTCAGGGATGGGGCTGGGCATCCCCAGACTCTGCAAAGTGTCCAAGAGTGTCTTTGGCCTTTGCAGCTGTCCATCACTCATAGGTACATGTGTGTTTCCACTCACGCAGCCCATCCACACATAGACTTTCCATCCCAATTTGCAGTCTTGCTCTGCTTTTCTCTGTAGTATACGGTCATCTTTACAACAGCTGTTCGTTCTGCATAGATTATTTTTTCTCCACTACTTACTTGTAAAACAGGAGTCTGACTATTCTCAGCATGCTTGCTTTTCTTTCAAATGATCCCTCATGAGTTACCTTTCTAAAGACTGGAACAGATTTCCTTTGTTCCCAAGATCTCCATGACCTGAATTTTGGCTTGCTCCAAGGGCAGCACTGAAGTCAATGAACGCTTTCTAAGCAGATCCATCTGCTAGCTTCCAGAACTCACTGTGGCTCTTGGTGCTTCTGGTTTGTCACACAGCCGGGAGCCTTTGCTGCTGGCAAGAGGGGTAGGGATGGAGAGGGACCGAGTTTAGAAACTGTGACCTATTGACTTCCATTCTGTCACATACTCTCACGGCCCTGCTCTATTCCTGGCAATACTGGCTCTGATGAATCCATTGAGGCTGTTTCTGTGCTGGTAAATATGAGGGGGAGAATTGGGGAAAGGTGTGCTCCTAGGAAACCTTCCTTCAGACTGGAGCTGGGCTGTCATTTTTGGTAATTCCCTCTGCCCCAGGGAACTTTGAGACACATGCACAGTCAGTAATAGTGAATTCTCATGTTGTGCAATAGAGGAATTTCACAATTTGCTCAAAGTGCATGAAATAACTTTTTGCTTTCCAGTGTTAATTTTGGCCTTAATAAAGGTGGAGGATGGGAGCGGGGGGAAAAAAAACTCAACTTTCCACACTCAGGTCTGTGGCTGCCCTGTGGGATAAAGCTAGGAAACTGTGAATTGGTAAAAATTGCTGCACAGCCCCCAGATGTGGTGGGTGTGAGCTGCCCCTTTGCTCAGCACTGTGTTCTGAGTGTGACTGCAGCCAACGCTGGTTGTAGCTGTGGGTTGTGCTCATGTCTGTGGCTGTGTGAATGGTCTCAGTAAGCATGCATGAGTAATTCCTAATGAATAATTTAGCTGACATTAACCTTTCCCCTTGCAGAAATGCATCCTCCCCCTGTTCTAATCACAGTCAGAACTGCTGGGAAGTTTAATCATTATTAGCAGTTTGTTTGCTAGGTTATTTCTGTGGATAATTGCTCTAGCTTTCCTGCTGTTTTGCTGCTAGCAGTCATTATCTGCAGCGAGTTCCTCTGCCTGGGTCAGGGAACGGTGCTTCTGGGTCAGAGAATGGTGCTGCTGGTTCCTATTGGCAGTGCTGGGAGGAGGTGGTGGAGCCAGGGAACTTGCACCATCATGCAGTTGCAGGTCCGTGTTTGCTTACTCTGCAATATTGTTATAAATGCTGTAGTTAGACAAGTCCTGTTCTGGGGTATTTATAGACAGAGAACATAAAAAGTGGAAAATATTGTGGAAACAGATCGGTTTAAGCTGAGGATCTCTTCTCTATGCCCAGCACGGTGCTGAGAGGCTTCCACACAAAAAGTGCCTCCTGCTCGGAGCCAGCTCCTGCCTTGGGGTGCAGCTAGGAGCCTTTCCAGCAGGCAGGGTCTGTGTTTGGGTTTCATCCACACGAGCTGTTTGCAGCCTTCCCATAAAACCACCTCAGCTCCACCTGCAGGACCCCCTGATTTGGTGATGCCCTCACCCAGCCCATCTCCTGCTCCATGCCACCTCCCCCCTCGGCCATACCTTCCCACTCCCTGCCTCTTGCTCAATCCCTCTCTGTCTCTTTCCAAATATTTCTGAGCCCACCCATGTGCTGCACGTACCCAGCAGCCGCTCAGAAGCAGCAGCACAGCGCGTTGCTTGGTTGGTCAAAACCAGGGTGTTTGTTTGTTCCCCGGGGATCCTGATTTCCCCAGTCCCTGAGTTGCCCATGCCACGTCTCTGTTTGCTGCTTGAATGAGTTGCTTAAGTGAAGGGCTGAACTCTAAGCCACCTGACTTCCCACCCACTGACTTTTCACCCGCTGAGCTGTTTGTTGCCACTGTTCTTGGAGGGGAGAGTGCAGAGGTGGCTGAGCCCCACACGGGGTTTGGGATGTGAGAGGAAGACCCTTCTGCTCACCCAAGCAAATAGCTGCTCGGCCATCGGCGAGGGGCAAACTGGTGCTGAAAAGCTGCCAAGAGCTTTTTTTTCAAGATCTGCAGTTTCGGAGAACAATTTTTTAAAAGTATTTTTTGATGGTTTGCTAGAAATATATTCCGGTCAAAACAGTTTTCGGTTTTAGTTTTTAACCCTTTCATTCATAAGTTTTCTCTTTTTACATGGAGTGTGAGGGTAACCACTCTGGTCCTGGCTACCACTTGACACATGATGGCAGTTCTCCAGGTCTCCAATAACTCAGCTCCATTGATGCCTTGTGCTCCTCAATGATGTCCCCACTGTGTTGGCTCTTTGTCCAGTGCTGGTGGGGTCTGCATCAGGGCTGTGCCCTATCCCACCCACCTCCCATCCACTTTCTCTCCTTGCAGTGGAACATGAGATGCTGTAAGTGTGACTCCCGGCTGCCTCACGCCCGCAATGGGCACCGTGTGGCCAACATGCTGTCCTCTGCTGGGCGAACACGCTGGTGGCAATCCCAGAGTGGTGAGTGCTGGTCCCCAGCAGGGCTGGGTTTGGTGAATTAGGGGAAAAAAGGGAATAGATGGCTTGACTTATGCTTCCATATGGTGTGTTTTCCTGAAGTCCTGCATTTCTGAGGCCATCTCTCTGTGCCCACAGGCATGGAGCACGTCTATTTGCAGCTGGATCTGGATGAGAAGTTCCAGCTCAGCAGCATCGTGCTGGATTTCAGGGTCAGTATGCAGTAGTGCTGCTCACAGGGGGTCATGGGTGGTGATGGATGGGCATTGCTGGTTCCCGGCGGTTCAAAAGTTGATGAAGGCCCATAAGACACAAGGTTTTGGAGGGAAGGGGAGGAGAATGATGATGAGAATGAAGGTCTCCCCAGTCCTGGGTGGGAACCAGTTCACAGCACCACCTTGCAGGTATCCCTCTTTCCCTGATGTTACAGTCACCACTGCCCGCTGCGATGCTGATTGAGCGCTCCACAGACTTTGGCAAGACATGGGAGGTGTACCAGTACCTGGCCTCTGACTGTGCTGCTGCCTTTCCCCACATCCCCCGCGGTGCCCCCGAGAGCTGGGGGGATGCTCGGTGCCAGCCACTGCAGGCCCAGCATGGGTACCCCATGCATGGGGGCAAGGTGAGATCTGGGGCGCTTGGGTGGGTTATGGAAGGGTCTCCAGCATGTGCCTGTGCCCCATAGTGTGACCATGGATTTGGGGTGGGTGGCTCGTGTGGTGTCCCAGAAACACAAGGTGGCCCAAAAAGCTTTTACAAATGTTGTATACAGTGATGCTGTACACATCCAGTGGGGGGCTCTGGAGGATTCCTGTTCCTCCTAAGGAAAAGCCCTCACTCCTCTGTGGGTTAGGTTATCTTTCTGCAAAACCCTCTGCAGCTCTGAAGCCTTTTTTCTGCCTTAAGTGATAGCTGAGGTCTGGACCACACCTTTACCCTCAGAGTTTGAGAAGACAGCACTCTGCTTTTCCTGCTTTAATTATTTTTTTATTCCTTCTAAGGTGAAATTCAGTGTCCAAGACGTGGCATCTACCATTACTACCTCATACAGCCAGTCTGTTAATAGTAAGTGAACAGCCTCTGTTATGTCTGAGAAAGGGAGGGAAGATGCAGCCTGTGGTTTTTCAAGGGGTGATGGAGGATGCAGGGCTGGAACAGCTCTTCTTTAAGCAAAGCCTCAAACTGCTGTGTGCCCAATGGCTGCCCCTGGAGTGCCAAGGAGCAGCCTTAGGCCTTCATCTGCTTGGGGTGCTGGTGCTGCTATCTCTGAGCCCTCTGTGCACGGTGTGAGGCATCTCTGCAGATGGCGCCTTGATGCTGCTGTCCCCTCACAGTGTCTGTCCCCAACAGGGCTGGGGCAGTTCACCAACCTGAGGATCAACTTCACCCAGCTCCCACACGTCATGCACCACAGCTACCGCTCGCCCAGCAGCTTCTATGCAGTGACAGAAATGCAGGTGCTGGGAAGCTGCTTCTGCAACGGCCACGCTGACCGCTGTATCCCATCGAGGGACCCACATGCCATGGTGAGCTTCGTGATGTAGAGAACAGCCTGGGGACAATGCTGCATGTAACTGGGGGGAGCAGTGCCCATTTTTGCCTGCAGCAGTGGGATGGTGGCCATGAGAATGAAGACAGTTAACCCATGTCTTGTGTGGGGAGGGAGGCAGAGGGGTTTGGGAGCTTGGTGGCTGCAAGAGCTGAGCTCTGAGTTCACACAGGGTAATTGCTCTCTGCTGCAGGTGCATGGGCACTGCGAATGCCAGCACAACACTGCTGGCCCCAACTGTGGCCACTGTGCTGCCCTCTACAATGACCGCCCCTGGGCCCCTGCGGAGGACAACGACCCCCATGAGTGCCAGCGTACGGTGACAGCCTTCCCCTCTTCCTCCTCTTCCTGAGTATGAGCTGTCTCTATAGAACAGCTTCCCAAAGCATTCTGCTTCACTGAGGCTGCAGCCAGGCAATGTCTCTGGTGCACTCGCACTCTTCTGCTTTGCCCAGTATGCCTCAACTCCATACTGGGACTGTTACTGGGTGCAGAGGTGCCATGCAGGGGACTAGGGCACCCTCTAGTGACAGCGTGTCCTATGCTGCTGGAGGGCCCTGCACGCTTGCAGCACCAGATGGGCTGTTTGGGGTTTTTTTAGGGTGTAACTGCAACGGCCACTCAGCCTCGTGCCACTTCGACCCGGAGGTTTTCCACGCCAGCGGTGGGGTGAGCGGGGGTGTCTGCGATGACTGCCAGCACAACACGGAGGGAAACAACTGTGAGCGCTGCAAAACCAACTATTTCCGCAACCAGCGGCAGGATCTCACCCATCCTGAAGCCTGCCAGCGTGAGTGCCCGGCGATCTCCCCTCCATACTCCTCAGTTGCTCTGAGGGCAGCTCAGCAGTGCCACTTCTCACACCTTTCCAGCCTGTGAGTGTGACCCGGACGGCACGGTGCCAGGCTCTGTCTGTGACCCACTCTCGGGGCACTGCGTCTGCAAGGAGAATGTGCAGGGCGAGCGATGCCACCTCTGCAAGCCAGGCTTTGCCCAGCTGGCCCATGCCAACCCCCTGGGCTGCCGCAGTGAGTATGCTGTCAGACAGCCCCTGCTGCCCCGGCATCTCTGTCCTCAGCATCTTCTGCAAGGGTTGTGCTTCCCAGCCAGCTTGGATTTGGGATTTCTAAGATGTAGCTGCATTATGCAAAACGTTATAAAGGTCCTTGCTTAGGCTGTGGCCTGTCTCAGGGATGTGTTTGGCCACAGGGATAGGGAGAACAGGGTTCAGGCATACGTAGGGCTGTGCCCTGTTCCTGATGCAGGCAGCTGCAGGGGGTGCTGCAGGCGATGCGGTGCAGGCAAGACAGGCTGTGTGCAGTAGAGGGCAGCCACAGCTTGGGGTGGACGCTGTCTGTGCTGGGAACAGAGGTCTCTGGGGCTGCTGAGTCTGGCTGCTAGGCTTGAGCAGGCAGCGCAGTACAAGAGCAGGGATGCACCTTTGTGCCAAGCTCTGTTGCAAAAGGAGGAGAGGAGAGGCAGCAGCCTCCCAGCTTTGCGAGAAGCCAGGCTGCTGCTCAGCGCCCAATTTTAATCCAAAGAACCTCTCTCTGTTTCAGGATGTGCCTGCAACGTCCTGGGAACACGGCAGAACGTGCCATGTGATGATGAAACGGGGAGCTGCTCCTGCCTGCCCAACGTGGTGGGCACCGACTGTGACCAGTGTGCAGCTGGGCACTGGGACATGGCGAGTGGCCGGGGCTGCCAGCCCTGCAAGTGCAACCCCAGTGGTTCCCACAGCATCCACTGCAACCAGGTACTGCTCTGAGCATCCTTTGGTGGTCACTAGCTGTCTGTAAGCCATGGTGCTCCCTTTGGAAACCATTCCAGCAATATCTACTATTGTTTTTCTTGCCTGCTTCAGTGCAGCTGGGGGTATCACTGCCAAATAGAAGCTGTCCTGCTGGACAGCACTGCAGCCTGGGACTGCTCAGAGCATTGAAAGCACCTGTTCCAATTTTGGGAGCTTCTACAAATGGACAGTGCGCTTCCTACTGCAATCTGCTCTTGTTTTCCTCTTCCCATTTCCTAGAAGCACTATGACAGACTACTCAGGAAAATAAAAGGAGGTGATAATTACGGAGGCAAGATTAAGCTGCTCTAAAAGGCTTGATATTTATTTAGCAAGGAAATCCTAATAAGAGATCTTCACGCAGGCACGGCAAGTTAATTATCCTCATTTGTTAACGGAAAGCATGTGTGTCACTTCAGCCTTAACAGACAGCTGGGAAAATTACAGCTAAATGTAAAAACGCCATAACAAAAGCAAAGAGCCAAAGATAGGTTCCAAACGGCACAGGGAGGAGACCTGAGCTCAAAAACTGGTTGCTTGTGGGCGATTCCTTTGTCTTGGAAACAAAACCTAAAGCTTTGCAGTGCTCATGAGTCAAGGCTGTTTGCAGACCTGGCCCCACAGCTTTGCTATTGGCATCGCTGCAGCCACATCCAAGGACAGGGGCTGTGTAGAGAAGACTGACAGCAGGCGGGTGACAAAACGCCTTATTTCCATTTCGCCTCCACAGCACTGGGGAGCTGTGCTCCCTGCTGTGCCCCTGCATCTGTTAAGAAGCATGGTGGAGTATGATCTGCTGCTTTTACTTCAGGTGCTGCTTTTCCTCTGCTCTGCTTCGCCTCTCTCCCAGGCTGGGAACTGCTTTTGTGTTTTCCTGCCCCCAGGTAGGAGATGAAGCTGACAGGTGACAGAAAGGCTGGGGGGCGGCTCAGCACTCACCATGCTTTCCCAGGAGCATACGAAGTACTGAGTGTCCTCCCTGATGTCCTTTTCCTTTCTCAGTTCACAGGACAGTGCCAGTGCAGAGAAGGCTTCACAGGGCGGACGTGCTCTGCTGCACAGCAGGAGCAGGCCTGCCCAGATAGGCACTTTGGAGACGTCAGGGTAGGATGCACAGGTAGGGTGCATCACGTTCACTTTTGGCATAGTGTTTCTTAGCACTGTGAAATCACCACTATTCTGGGAAAACAGCACTTTGTCCATGTTCTGACATCAGCGTTCTCCACGCTGTTTCACTTCTGTCCTTGGCACTGTGGGGTTACCGGGGTGGGTCCCACTGCACATTGCATTGCCATCTAGCTAGCAGGATCTGATTTGTTGTTGTTTTCTCCTTTCAATGGGCTTCACACCTTTTCTCTCCTCTTTCCATTCCCCAGAGTGCAACTGTGACTTTCAGGGCACCGAGGACGTGGGGTGTGACAAATCCACAGGCCGCTGCCTCTGCCGCCCAGGTGTCACCGGCCCCCGCTGTGACCAATGCCAACGGGACCACTGCAGCACCTACCCCAGCTGTGAGCCGTGCCACCCCTGCTTCCACACCTATGATGGTGACATCCAGCGGCTGCGGTTGCGCTTGCAGCAGGTCAGCCTGAGCAACTCCAGCACTGGGCTGCCTGGGGGTTCCCACCTGGGCCTCCAGCTCTCACGGGCACAGAGCAGCGTGCAGCAGGCACAGGGCATCCTTGGTCACTCATCCACCGCCGAGCAGGGCCTGGCCCAGCTGGGCAATGCACTCACTGCCATCAGGTGAGGATGCACTGCTTTGCGTCTGTAACTCGAAATATTGAACTGCCCTGCAGTCCCACGTGGCGCACCTGTAGTATTCCAGCTGGAGAGGGTCCTGCTCTCTGCCTACGTGCACTTTTCTCTCTGCTTAAATTCATGTTTTCTGCATTTTCTTTTTTTCAGGGAGCAAATGCAAGGCATTAATCCCAACTTTCAGTTTCTGGATGTGAGTGCCTCTCTATCAAACGAGTTTGAAGCTCTCAACAGCAGCCTGCTTACCATCAATGCTCAGTATCAGAGCAAGAAGACCCAGTTTGAAAACAGCCGCAGCACGGATCTGTCAGGTACAGCACTGCCACTCTAAAATCTCTTCATTTGAGGCTGACAATTAACCTCAATGGGATTTTGTACCTATGTTCCCAATGGCTGGGTGGAAGAGATGGAGAAGTTTTCAGTCTGTCAGCTTAGGAACAGCAAACATCCTCTCTCCCTCCTACATGAGATGCTTTCTGCTCTGCCTCATCTCTGACCAATCTGGGGCTGTTTCCTGTGGTTGTTGGGGCTGGGCAGCTCAGTATGCAGCCCCCTGTCCCTCCCTGCCAGTGAAGCACCGTGTGCCAAAGCACCCCAACACCACAGCTCAGCAGAGACAGGGCTGAGCCCAGGGAGGAGATGTCATCAAGCTGGGGGCGGCTGCTGGAGTTTTGGCTGTGTGCAGATAGAAGGGATGGAGGGGTGGAGGAGAACCAGCAGCTAGCTGTCAGGGGCTCAGAAGAGCTAATTATGCCCTGTGATGCTGGTGGTAGGTTGCCATTAAATCCTTGCAGCAGCTAATGCTCTCCAAGTGCCATCTTCTGCTGTCTCCTCTGTGCCATGCTGCAGAGCATGGGGCTCTGCTCTGGCTGTGTGAAGGGCTCTGAGAGAGCTGCAGCACAGCCCTGCATCAGCACAGGCATGGCTTTTGCTTTAGTTTTATTTCAGTCTTAGAGTCCTAAACATGAGGTCAGTCCTTCAGCAAAGCTCTGCAGCTCAGTGTACAGGAATGGCTGAAAGGCGTTTGGAAATAAAAGGAGCTTTTTATTTGTGCCTTCATGACTAATCACTCTAGCTGTGTCCCCCTCCTCTCCATGCACACATCCACTCACAGGGTATAGTCAATGCCTTCCTTTCGGTAGCTCTGCTGCATTTATGACTCACTGAGGCATTTGTGTCATTCACCGCCTTTATTCCTGCAGGAGCCTTTGGGACCATCCGATCTGCTCACCAGACATCCACCAACGCCAGCAGCCTTGCTGCTGCTGCTGCCACTCTGCTGGCCATGTCCAGGGAGAGCCGCAGGGATGCAGCGGGGCTGGAGGCAGCAGCTGCCACTCACAGCAGCAAGCTGCTGGCCCTCAGGGCCCAGATGGCCTCATCTCCCAATCTGACTCCTACCGTGAATAAGGTGAAAATAGAAATAGGTTCTCTGTGCTTGTATAGTTGTCAATGGGGCCTTGTATAGCTTGAGGGGCAGAGCTCTTACCCTGTGGTCGCACATCTTTGCTCAGTTTGCCCAGTGTGGCACGACAGAGTGGGCATGGGGGTGGTGGGTTGATGGTTAGACTAGAGGATCTTAGTGGTCTTTTCCAATCTCAATGACTCGGTGAAGACTTTGTTCAGAGAGACTTGCCCTGAACGGCAAAGCTCTGCTTGTGGACATCAGAGCAGAACCATTGGAGCATCCCTTGCTGCAGATATCAGACACCCAAGCTCTCCCTCCACCCCTTCCCAGCCATATGCATCCTTCCTCCAAGGACTCTCTCACATGTCAGTTCTCCTGTCTCACAGACCCACTTAATTTCTGGATGAGGTTTCTTTTCTTTCTCCTTCACTGCTTTGTTATTGCCATGGAGATCCATTTCAGTGCCTTCTAATGCACGGTTGCTGTGGAGACCACCAGCCTCCCCTCTGCTTTGCAGGGCACCATCGTGTTCCTGAGCATTTAGGGGGGCTGGTGCTTGCACTGGTTGTGCACCTGCCCGTGCCCTGCAGCAGTGCCTCCTCTGTTGGGTGACAACATGAGAAGGTGCCAGGCAATCAAACACACTGCTCAGATCTCCTCATCCTACTGTCTATAAGCAAATTACAGAGGTTGAGCAGAGTTTCTCTACGAGGGAAGAGCTGCTGTTGTGAGGGTCAGTGAAGTGGTTGCTCCACGTGCTGGCACGCTGCTAGCAGCCAAGCAGACATGCTCCACTCACTGCCATTGCATGGGCTGCCTCTGAGCGTGTCCCCAAGAGGAGCTCCTGCTGCACAGCACACAGTATTCCTCAGCCTCTTGGAGAGAGCCTGTCAGAATGGCAGCCCCTGACAAAATGATGGCCGCTGTCAGAATGGCGGCCCTTGACAAAATGGCGGCTTCTGCCAAAATGGCGCCCCCTTCAAAATGGATGTCCCTGTGAGACTCCATCTTGACTTCATAAGGCCTCATAGCCAAGTGTGGACCTCACCGCCCTGCTTCTCTCTTCTTTTCCAGATCTGTGGTGGTTTCCGTGCAGAGACGTGCACCCCAGCACAGTGTGAAGGCTCGCTGTGCCCACAAGATGGTGGCATGGCCTGCGGGGACGGCCTCAGCTGCCGTGGTGCCAGGCCATTAGCCGGTGGGGCCCTGCGTGTGGCTGGGAAAGCTGAGGGGGAGTTGGACAGCCTGAGTGCACGGCTAAGGGAGACAGCACAGCTGGTGAGTGCCAGCAGGTCTGAGGGGTGGGCATGGAGGCGCAGCCCACCATAAAGCACCCAGCCTGGGCTTGGTCTGAGGTTCAGTTGTCTGCGCAGTGTCTCCGTCTCTCCCTGGCATAGAGGGCAAAAAGCTCCTCTCGTATTTCCAGCAGTGCCAGTAGGTGTGGGAATGTCACTAAGAAGCTGGAACCTCATGGTGTTGGGATTAGCATGACAGAAGGGTGAGGGATGTGAAAGCACCTCAGAATCTGCAGGGATGCCCTAACGTTTGATGCAGCCTGCAGTGCCCGTGTTCGTGCTGCTGCACCTCTTTTCTACAGCCTCCAAGGGCTTGTGCAGATTAAGCGAGGTTTCAAAGTCATTCAAAAATCCATTTCAAATGGGTTTCCAAAAGCTAAATGGTACTGCCTCTTTTGGGAGCTTTCTTTGCAAATCCAGCCCTCAGTCTTTTAACATTTATGCTCCTTGAAAATGATGGCATGTTAGAAATGGAAATAGTGTAATTTCAAAGTGACCTGCTCAATTCACTGAGGGTTTAGGGAGGGCTGTTGGGATTCCAGGTCAAGTAGGAATGACTCCATCAGGATTTTGGGTTTTGCAGATTAAAACGACGGAGGCATCTGCTAATCAGATTCAAAGCAATGCCTTGCGGCTCATGGAACAGATGAGTATAACAAGAACCCAGATCGAAGGAGATGTCCGGCATGCCCAGCAGTTCATCCAGCAAGTTCGAAACTTCTTGTCAGGTAGCAGTGTGCAAGCTCACAGTGTGTGTGTGCAGGTTGGCTTGTGCATGGAAAACCCAATTTTTACAGTGATATTATGTATGAGAATAGTGTACAAAGGAGTCACTGAGTAGCTCAACCCGGCTAGGCTCTCAGCTACCTGGTTTATCCGACCTCTCTAGGAGTCTCTCACTGTCCTCAGACCCAAGGGCAAGCCATGCCCATGACAGATGCTCCCCAAAGGTTTGCAGTCAGCACTGACCACAGTGTAGAAGAGTTTAACAGTAACCTTATGGACAGGAGATAAATGGACATCTCTCTGGAACAGACTGCTAATCGTGAGAGAATTCCTTGTTGTCCTATAAACCAGTGGGATGACTTATTGTTCACAGACAGATTGTAATAACATAATAAGCCTCACGAGCATTAGCTGAATAAGAAAATCAGGTCACTTGGTGCTGCCTGGTGTTAATGATGAGGGAAGATATTTCTGAGCTAATCACTGGGCTAATGTCCCTTGGGCTCTGCCTGATTCTGATTCCTCAGATTTATTAACTTTTATTTGTGCAATAAAAAGGGCTTGTGTTGAAATACAACTTTATCTACTCAGTGGTGCAAGCCCTGCCTGTGCTCTGCAGGAACGTGGGGTACAATTGTGCCTCGGTCCCTCTGTGCTTTCCATTTGGTGCTCCATTTCCATCAAGATGGGGCAGATCATGTTCATACTGAGCCTGCCTTTTAAGGATGGCGACTTGAGCTGGTTGATTAAACCAGAGTAGATTCTGGCAGCTATCCGAAAGGAAGAGATGGTGTGTAAAAGCGTGCTGGCCATCTGCCTTCACCTTCCTGCCTTTCATCTCTCTTCTGTATCTGACATTGTTCCTCTGTTTGCATACAGACAAAGACACAGACCCTGCAACAATCCAGGAAATCAGCGAGTTTGTTCTCTCTCTTCGTCTCCCCACGGATGCTGCTGCAGTCCTGAGAAAAATGAATGAGATTCAAAATCTGGCTACCAAGCTGCAGTGCCCAGAGAACATACTTGCCCAGACGGCCGAGGACATTGCAAAGGCCAAGCAGCTGCAGCAGGAGGCAGAACAGGCCAGGTCAGCTTGGCTGAAGGCTTTCTGAGGGTCGCTGAGCCATAGGGAATGTGCTGATTCTCAGCTGGGGTGAAATCTGACTGTGCTTCTGTGTATGCATGGTGGCTAAAAGGATGCACTTGCAGTCTCTACAGAGGCTCCTCTGATACTTTGATTCAAATAAGGATCTGGTTGCCAAGAATAGATATTGTTATGGATCCTAGAGCAAGAAAGTCTATACCAAAAGTAACAGAGAATTTTCTCTATTTCTTGAGACCATATAAGGGGAGATGACGGGGTTGCTCTGTTATTGATATTGGTGACCCACATTCTAATCACACAAGAGAGCATGAGGGGATTAAATGGGCTATTTGTTTTCTGGGTGAAAGTTGGGAGGATTATCCCATAGCCCCTTCAAAAGCAATTACACAGCGCCCTTGTAAATTTGGAGCATCTGCTTTGTCATGTGTTGACTTTCAGCAATATCCCGGTGAGAAGGTGAGTGGGATAAGTATGTAAACTCCTTTATAGTGTCTGACACCTGCTTAGCCTGCTGGAATCGATGAGACAAAGCAGTCTGGCTTCTGTTATGATGTGGAATACCAATGAAAAACCATGACACTATGGGGAGCTCTGTCCTCCTGTCTGAATAGTCCCAAAGAAAAGCAGATAGCATGCAGTGAAATTGGTTCCCTTTAATTTCCCTTTAATTCTTTTTCCTGCACCCTTGCAAAACAGTTGTTTCTAGATCTCTCCCCCTTCTCAGTTCATTTTCTCTGGCTGGGGATGTGAAATGGAAGTAACGCTTCTCCCGAATGGAAATCTGCTCTATGGCTCTTCTATACTGGGTCTGGATGTGTGTGGGGTGATCACAGCCTTCTCCATTACAGTATTGTCTTGCTTCTCCAGCTTGCTTATTTTGCCCCTGCAATCCTGATATCCAGTCCATGCCATTCTCCACACTCACTCTGGCTGTTTCTTGTGTTTCTCAGGAACCGGGCAAATGCTGTGGAAGGCAATGTGGAAGAGGTTGTTGGGAATCTGAGACAGGCAAACACAGTGCTGCTGGAGGCCCAGGGGGCCATCAGGGGCTCAGGTTCTTCCCTTCGGTTCATTCAGGAACGCGTTGAGGAAGTAAGTGGTGTTCAGTGACTTCCCAAATAACAGCACTGCTCTCTGTTGCTTTGCTGCTTCGCAGTGTGGTACAGCCCTGTACCAGCAAAGTGGAGAAATGAGATATTTTGTGTAAAAAAAAAAAAAAAAAAATCAAAACTATTCCCTGTTGGGTCTCACTTGTCTGCTTCTCTGAGCTCCAGGCCTGCAAGGAGGAAATCCGTGGGCCCTCACTGCACAGAAGAAAAAGTTTTTATTTGCAATTTCCCTCTTAACATGGAGCATTCTGCTTGTAGATCGAGGCAGTGCTTGGTCCAGCTGAGAAGAACGTGGGCTCGGTGGCAGCCCAGCTGGCTGTGCTGGCAGAGGGGCTCCCTGGGCTGCAGCAGACAGCAGGGCAGAACCGGTTGCGGGCCAACGATGCACAGCAAACAGCAGCAGCAGCAAGCGAGGAGGCCAACAGGGCTCAGCAGGTATTGTGGCCTTGCACCATGCTCCCTCTGGCTTTCTCAGTCTTAATGCCTTTTGCTCAAGACCTGTTTCTGCTCTCTGCCCCACCTGAGGCAGAGCAGCCCGTGCAGATGCCAGTCAGCATCTTTGTGAGCACATTGTGCATCTGCATATTAGCGTAATTGCAGAGCTCTAGCACAGTATCTCAACATTGGTAAATCTTCACCAGTTTATTTGCTCGATCCTACATGCGCTGCTTAATTTACTTTTCCCTAGGCTTTCCAGCAAGTGAAAGATATGTATGCGGAGCTGAAGAGCAGGCAGGGGCAGAGCCCTGCACTGGGAGCACAGGGCAGCCGTGTGCAGAGCATAGATCTGGAGGCAAAAGCTCTCTTTGAGGAAACGTGGAACATGATGCTCCGTATGGAAAGTAAGCCTCTGAGCTCGGGGTGATGGGCAGGTGAACTGGGGCTTCTGGGTGCCAGAGAGGTTGGGGTTTTTAGGGCAGAAGAGGGGGGTGCAGGAGGGAAGAGGGGCTCAGTCCAGGAAGGCAGACTGCACACAATGCTTACTTCCAGTTATGATCTCACAAAACCTTCCCTCCCCTCTCTCCTCAGCTTTGGAGACAGAAATTCAGGAAAGCAACAGAGCTCTGGTGGCCAAGTCAGCCAGGCTGTCAGGCCTTCAGGAGCAGGTGGGCAGGATCCGGGATGCCATCCATAAGCGAGTCACCTACTATGAGAGCTGCTCCTGAGTGAGGCTGCGCCTTCCCGCTGCAAACACCGACTGCTGTGTTGATTCCCATTTTTCTGGCAGGATTTCTCACTTTCCTAACGTCTGTATATTTAGCAAATGGGATTTCTGTCCTTTTGGAAAGGAGCTGCACCGAGGCAAAGGGGTGAACCCCTGGGTGGGTTTGTGCTCTTTGGACCACTTGAAGCTACCTGGGCATGGAGGAGAAGGACAGACACAGAACTTCAGCTGCAAATATGCACATCCCCCACCTTGTTATTTCCAGAGAGGTTAAAAAAGAAAAAAAAAAAAAGGAAAGGAAAAAAAAAAAAGAAAAAAAAGAAAGAGTTCATGTTTTAACCAATTCAAGCTCTTGTAGCTGGATTTGCTATTCAGACAAAACCCATTATGTGGGACAATGCAGTTAATGCTTAGGACTTGCCGTGGCTGCAGTCCTTCCCTCCTAGATTTTTCATCAAAGAACCAGATCACAGAAATGGAGAATTTTATTTCCATTGTATCTACATAGCAAACCTCTATTTCTGCAACTAGGAGAAATGCAATCTCATACTCAAAACGTGTGATGTTGAATGTCTTCTTTGACTTTCTGCCACAATCTTCTTATTTACTGTGTAACACTTTGCCAGAAAAATATCAGAGAGAGCAGTTCTGCAGCTGCTCAGGGGATGCTTCAGCAGGGACTTAATAGACCATTTCCACATCACATTTCTACGAATAACCAACAGGCACTTTACAAAACAAAAGTCAGCTTTATTAAGCAAGTATTTATTGTGCAATTACAGACTTGGAAGCAGGGAATTTAGACCTTGCTGTGGTTATTAACAGACATACGGAGGTTGCTAGCAGGTTGTCTCCTTTTGTAGCTGAAGTGAGAACCACGCAGCCTGGGCAACTGCTTGTCACCGAGCTGCAGAGAGCTGAAGCCTGGGAGAAACCAAAATCCAAGGAATAGGAAGGATGCAGGTTGTAAAAATAACTGAGCTGCCACTGAATAAAACTCTGCATGGCTTTGGTTTATAGGATTTATGCTGTGCAGTGCACTCGTTATGCATCGGACAACTTAACAGTATACGGAAAACAAAAGCTTACAGCACTGAGCAATGTTGTATGGAATAATATACACTGAATATGCTAGCAGCAGCCTCAGCCTTTCCCTTGCTAAAGTGCCTTCTTCCAGCATTAACGATCCAGAAGCACGCCGAGGTCACCGCGCTGATGGATTCCCAGCATTACTGTGCTGCTCATCACCGCGTCGCTGCTCTCCGTGACGCTGCTGCTCTCAGCCCCTGGCGGGACACAACATCCTTTCTTCTTGCTTGCACTGTTGATGTCTGGCTTTGAAGTGCAGAAAAGAGTAAAACAGCCCTTCTGTTTCTGCAAGAGTGAGAATTTCAATTGGGAATTGAACTTTGTTTCGCTAGACTGCTGCCTTCACAATGTGCTCTGTTAATAGGCGGCAGCAGCACGGGGGTTAGGAGCAGCTTAGTTCCTTTTGTATGCTGCATTTATAAAGGGCTGCTACATGACTGATCACTGGAATTGACCTGTTTGGAGTCTGTAGTAGATCTTACTTGCATTTGTCTCATCTATTGATCCTTTGTACATTACAGTTCTGTTCGTGTGATCTCATCAGTAGAAAAGGTCATAAAAGATGATAAGATGCAGCTCACTTGATGTAGTTTCCAGGGAGATTTATGCTGGCCCATGCTCACCTTTTTGGAACATCTTCTCAGCCAGAATCTAATAGCAGTACTTCCTACTGCTTATACACAACATGTCTCAAATGTTAATTTCGGAATTAATCTGAGCTATGACCAAACAGGAGGAAACGTTTCTTTTCTTACTTCTCTGGTATTTGTTGCTCACCTACACAACCAACGTTTCCATGCTGTGCTCTCTGATAACAAAGCAACTGGAACTGACCCAGCTGGACCAAATCTGGGCCAGGGATGGGCTGTTCAGGCAATAATTGCCTTTGAAACCAATTGATTTTAGAGCCAGTGGGCTGTTCCAATTGGAAGTCAAAGGATGACTTCTTCCTCAAGAGATGGCTTAATTAGGGCTTTTTCTGTTACAGAATACCTGCAAAATCAATTTGTTTCCGTGCAGTCACTTTGCTAGTTGTGCCTTTCCCATTTTCATGCTGTAATGGGTTTAATTGCAAGCAGCTGGTGGTGGGATGGTGTGCACTTACCTCTGACGATGGGGGATCCTGCTGGCCGCCTTCCTCATCACATGATCAAGCAAACTCCAGTTTGCCCAGTGCCACAGTGAGATGAGTGCTTACCAGTCTTCATTGGAACGAGAACTTCTGATTTGAAATGGCTGGATGGAAATGGAAGAATTGGAAGAGAAAGAAGGAAAAAAAAAAAAAAAAAGAAATAAATGGCAGTATTTATGGTCATTCTGCAGGTGAATTAAAGTTGTGTTTTTAATATAAAGAGTGTCAGCTGCTGAAAGCAAAGTAGAGCTGGAGCGCAAGTCAACACTGCAGCAAAGGCAGGGTCCACTCAGCCAGCAGCTGCTGAGTAATTGGCATCGGCTCTAACCATAGATCATCACAGTTTCTGGAAAGCAAATGCACTGATGGCAATGGCAATCAAACCCCCACCACCTCAGCTCACTGCAAGCCTTGCTGTGCAGCCTGGGCACTGTGCCTCACCTGCTGCTCATACAAGAACAAAAAAATGCTTGGCTAGGTACTGGTGCAATGTTTGCTTCTGTCATTTTCCTCCCTCCTCTCTACTCCACCTGGAGCTGGCAACTTATGTGCTAGGCAGCAACTTCCAGGCAGGGTTAGTCCCATACACTTTATCAGAAGTTACGGCTGATGACGTGGATACCTACTGGGATTTTGCAGGTTTTTTAAGGAGCACCATCTCGGAGCAGAAGGATGCCTTGGCTCTCTCATGCCCTGTGCACACTGGGCTGCAGCCACACGATCTGGCCGGCGGGCTCTGGTTGTCTGGTGATCCATTCATTGGGGGGCTTTGCAGCTTGCCCTCTCTCATTCCTGTGCCTTGCTCCAGCAGAGCAGGAGGGGCCGGACAGGGGACCTGGGGCAGTGACATGTCCTCATCCTTGTTGGGCATTTCTGGCTGCGTGCTGTTGGGTGTGCTGGGTCTGGGTGCCTCAGAGCCTTGTATAATTGGGTGGGTGCTGCCAGCCGTGGCGTGGCCATTCATGTGCAGCTTCCTCATGTGGTGCACCACAGCTGCGGCATTGAAGGCTTGCTGGGGAGGAAGAGAAAAACCCCACAGTGAGCACCCAGCAGTGCTGGATGAACGTTGTCCATATGAAGCAGCAGCAGCAGCAGCAGGGTGGTAATGCTGAGCTGCTTGGTGCTGCTGGAATGTTTGCACAACGTGCAGAAAGTGCTCATCCCTGGCATAAACGTGGCAAATGCCACAGACTACAAACTGCTGATGCTTTTGAAGTTTGTAACTCTTTCCAGACGAGGAAATCAGGGGGAACAGCTGTAAATTACCCCACAGTGTGGAACGGAGACTCAAGCTGAATTTTGAGTGTATTTAAAACATTCTAATTCAAGTGGTTCCTACTATTGGGCTGATATCCAATATCAGTCCATCAGATATTCCACTCTCCATCTACATTCTTACAAAAGCTCTTTCGATATAGATTGAAGTACCAGGGCTGAAAGGAGGAGAAGCTGGATTAAGCTCACAAAAAGATCTGCTGACAGGGTGCTGGTTTTGTTCCCCTAGCACAGAGACAGCAATCCTTTTCCAGCCTTGTTTTGTTGGCAAGGGCACTGTGATGGCACTACAGCGTGATGTCCATGGTAAACAGACCAGTGTGCATTGCAGTAGGTAACACTGGTCCAGGCATACCATAAAGAGTAGCTGCATACGATTTTCAGACAACTTTTGCAGGATTTTGGATGCTTACCCATCAAGGAACCTCGCTTGTTGCTAGATGGCAGCAACTGGCGTTTGCTATTGAAATGGCTCTGGGCTCCCAGTGGTGAACAACTTACCCTCCATTTGCTCTTTGCAAAGTTTTTCTGAATCTGAGCACTGACAGATGGGTATATGTCACGGTGAAGGGCTGTATTTCCATTAATCCTGCAGATGGGGAGAGAAGAAAATGGGCTCATAGGCAGATGGCATTTGTAAGTCATTCCACATTCTGGAGGCAACTAACTGCTTTGTACATTCAATCAGCAATAATTAAACCCAAAGGAAAAACAGCAACAAAATGTAACACAAACACACACTTCAAAGCTCAGAAAAGCCCAGAACGGGATTTCTTCTTTGCCTCTGTTTATGGAGACAAATATTACACCAATTGCATCTTTAATTATTCACAGTTCTCTTTGTTTTGTGGAGGTGGCTGATGGCACTGCCAGGTTGGGGGACAACTCTCACCATGGGTGCCTCAGGGCTTCTTCACAGGAAAACCTTGTGTCCGGGTTCTTCTCCAGTAAGTGCCTGATGAAATCCTTGGCTGTTTGGAAAGGGATGAGAAGCAGAGAGGAAAGGTTATTTTCTCCCCGTTCCGGGATGCGATCCTAATAGGAGGGCAAACACTCATAGATAAACATCACAAAGGTCAGCGTGGGAAGGAGGTGTTTGTACCACTTCATTACAGTGGTGGAGGGAGATATGTATGGTGAAACGCTTCTGATGGAAAAATGTCACCTGCACATGTACCTAATTTCAGCTTAGACAGAGTGAATGTGAACTGAATTTCTCACTGCCAATAGGAAAAAACACAAAAGTTGGGACTGAGTGCTTTTATAAATTGCTCTAAAAAACAGCCTCCTATTTTCTTTTCTTTTTTTTTTTTTTCCTCTTCTTTTTTTCTCTCTGCCCACACAGCTCAGCTTTGGCATCTCTGCCCTGCTCTGCAGTGCTGGCAGGTGCTGTGGGCTGTCCCCATCCCCAAAGTGAAGGTGAAATGCTGCTGGGCTCTACCTGACTCGGAGATGTCATCCCAAAAAGGAGACTCAAACTCGTAGTAGCCTTCCTTGATCTTTTCAAACAGCTTGGACTCAGTCTCTTCGTAGAAAGGTGGGTACCCACACAGCCTGGAACAGAGCAGAGGGGCACGAGTCCTTCAGCTGTGCATCCACATGAGCTTGGTGTGGCCTGTTAGGGCTGGGCACGTGTGTGCAACACGAGGGAGTGAGTAACAGGAGGCTGCTGTATGGATCCATCTGTCCCTAAGCGCATGGGGAAAGCTGCAGAAAAGAGTTAAAAACTGTACAGCAAAAGGACAAAGCAACAGCTGGAACAGAACTGCACGGTGTGGGAGGAAATGAAACAAAACATACAGAGGAAGACTGAATGATAGTTAGAGGCAACCGGAGAAAAACAAAGCACAGGATGAGGCGCATAATAGAGAAAATGCGATTCCTTTCATCTCCGCTCCAGTTCTTGATTCCCACCACCCCTTTCATTTCTATGGTCTGGAGGATCTGTGTGAAGGAGGAGTGCACTGCAGTGCTGTCACGAGGAAGGAGAGGGCCGGCACCGCCTCCGCTCATGCTTCCATGCTGCAGAGGTGCATGAGGCAGTGCACGAGCTGGGAAACGTGGAGATGGGGAGGGCTGCTGCCTGCTGCTACTCACAGGATGTAGGTGATGACTCCGATGGACCAGCAGTCCACAGCTTTGCTGTACGGTTTCTGGGCAAGGACTTCAGGGGCTGCAGAAAAGCAAAAAGAAATGCAAATTGCAAGCAGTGGTAAATTCTGAGAAAAGGAGAAGTTCCTTTTCCAAGGAATTCCAAGCAGTTGGCTTCTGAGAGGTCAGCACAGGAGCCAGAAACAGCCCTATGTACCACTTGGATTGCTGTCTGCCTTTTGTATCCACTTCATGCTGTTGAATAGAATGACCCACTGAGGACTTCTGCCAGCACCCAGAGGCTCTGACAAGTTAGATGGAGGCAATGCACTTAGGTTGACATGAAACAAAATCCCACAGTGTTGAATTTTTTTGCTGCAAATTTGCAATAAATACGTGGCTAACAGCAAAACGCACTGCTCTTAGAATCACCCTTTCAACACTCAGGGATTTTGTGGTCTCTAAACCCATCAGTAATCCACTCTTTGTGGGTTCTTGCAGTGCTGCCTCTCTGATTGTTGTGTTGTTAAGGTGGCTGTATATTTTTCCCTTTCATGCTTTAAGGGCACAGCCCTTTTCCTGGCAGCCCACCATAGCAGCCTGTTCCCAGCTCTCAGCTCACCAACATATCCTGGCGTCCCGCAGGCGGTGGACATGATGCCATTCTGCTCCATCTTGGACAAACCAAAGTCTGTAATCATGATTTTGGAGTTTTCTTCAGGAGTGAGGTAAAGAAGGTTTTCAGGCTGTGAATACAGAGAGCCAGAGGTTGAAATTCATGGTGGAAAAATGAAGAGAGCTACGGGATGGAGCTCGGGAAGTGCGCGGCAGAAGGACAGACTGCACCTTCAGGTCACGGTGGACAATCCCGTTTTCATGGAGGTACTTCACTGCTGTCAGGACCTGGTGGATCACCACGCTCGCATCTTTCTCAGTGTAAACCCCTCGTTCCAAGATCCTGTCAAACAACTCTCCACCCGACACCCTGTTGCAGAAGGAGATGAAAAATCAGGCAGGCGATCATCCGCTCTCCTCCACACAAGCCATGAACTTTCAGGCCCTTCACAGCTCCTCCTGCAGCACAGCCGCTCTCAGGCAGCAGCTCAGCAGCCAGCAGGCTTTCCTGAGTCCATTTGGAGCAGCAGGAAGCGTTCCCAGCAAATCTTTGACTTCTAGAATGGCTGTGCTGAGCTGCAGTGTGCTGTGGCTCTGCTTTACTTACAGCTGCATCACCAGGTAGAAGTGGGTTGTGCTCTCATAGATATCTTCCAAAGTCACGATGTTTTCGTGCTTTATTCTGCAAAGACAAACCTGGGTCAGAAACCAACCCGACAAGGACCAAATGGCTTTTCCAGCTGAAAACCCAACCGTCACATTGCTTTCAACACGAGTGACAGTTCACCAGGCTGTTCTGTGCCTGCACAACCTGCTGCATTCCCACACCTGGGGCTGTACTGGGGCTACAAACCCAGCAGGGAGTGAGGGAAGTAACTCCATTAGCGTATTAATTTACATGTTTTTTGAAAAGAAATATTTATTTCTTTGCATTAGTTTCGCTCCGGAGCCACATCTTGGGAAAGGGTGTGAGTTCTTGACATGACAACGGATGTATGTATGTGTGAACTCACTTCTTCAGCACTGCTATCTCGTTCTCCAAGCTGCTGTCCCTTGTGAGCGGGGACTTCTTGATGCACTTCAGAGCAAAGAGCTTCCCAGTGCTTCTTTGTTTCACCAAGAAAACTTCTGAAAACGCACCTCTGCAAAGAGAAGTGTGAACAGGGGAGGGACTGACAGATAGGAACAGGAAAAGCAGGAAAAAAACAACCTGGGAGTGGTTTAACACCAAGTGGATGTTGGTTGGAAAGCTGAAGGTACATCTCCAGCAGCCCCAGAGTTAGGAAACACAATGCAAGATTTTGTACCAAAAACAAAAAAAACAAAAAAAACCAAAAAACCAATTTTCTCTGTAGAGGAAAGGTTATGTTTGCATAGTTTATCATGGAGCTATACTGAGGTAATAGACAAAGAATTTTCCTGCAATTTAAGTGATGGCTTTCAGGGCTGCCTGCAGTGCTTGGTACGATCCTGATGAGGGTTCAGCTTGGTGTGGCCAGCAGTGGGTATCTGCAACATGTCCTAAGCCTGCAATCCTGTTAGAGGTTTTTCTTAGGCAGCAGAACACGTGTCTTGGGACAGTGACAGTGCATGCTTTGCCAGGTCAGTCCCTAATAATCCTCATCAAATGAACAACAGATTAATTCGTGGCGGTTAAATGGGACGAGCTGTTGAGCCTACAACCCTGCAAGGCAGAGGTGGGTTGAGAGAGGAAGGTGAGCATGGTGGAAGTGTGCTGGTGGGATGCTATTGTAGCAAACCTATCAAACAAGGGCAGAAAAGCTGTAATCTCCTAAATAAAGAACACGGGGCACTGCACAGATGGGTTTGGTGGTGCAGTTGGTGCTGGGACCTTCTCCTTGTTTCATATTTTCCCCTTTCATCCCTCTGAGCCCTGAAGGCTGTTTCATGGAAGTGCTTTCCACACTCCTGAGGGCTCTCAAGGAATGGGCAGCACAGATCCCTAATCCAATGGCTGAGGATTCCCCATAGAGATAATGGGAAATTTCCTAGTGGTTTTAAATCCCAGATCTCCATTTGCTTTCCTTGGCCAGCTGAAGCAACGCATGCGGAAAAAAATCCTAAACTCTAATATTAAATTATCCTATTAATGTAGTAGTAGGAAATGAACAACCTACAAATCAGATGCTGGGGCATCTGTTCTATATATCTGTCCCAAACAGTTTATAATAATTATGCCCCTTATTAAAAAATTATGAATCAACAAGTTGGCGAGGAGAACCCGAGCATTTCTTCTTGCCTTCTTCCTTTAGGGGAAGCTGTTGGGTAACATCACTGATTTCTGAAGCTGACCAGGAACACGAGAACTTAAAACCCAGCCGAGCTCTGGCATAGCTGCGGTTGGAAGCCTTGCTGTGGGTTCTACAGTCATGGAAAATCTGGACATGGCAGAATTTCCTGCTGGAGGTAATTCAACTCCTCCACCACCTTGGAAACGCTTTCTCGTCTCATTCACACCAATAGGCAAATTAAGCTGTTAACTCCCAGGGAAATATCGTACAACTCGAGCAGCCACGCTCTCGTTTCATCCTTCAAGTGACTCAGGGTTTTTTGAGATAAATACACGGCGTTATTAAACCTCTCAGAGCCATCCCTTGACCTTGCTTGACCTTGCAGCAGCAGCAGATCGGTGCATGCACAAGGAAAGGAGCAAAGCTCCATCCAGGCTGTGACTGGAGGGCAGAGCAGGGCTCGTGCTGCTGCACCTTGGGGGGTACTTACGATCCCAGTGCCTCCATGAAAATGAACGTCTTTCTGATATTGCTCGTCTGTTTCTTCCAGGAGCTGCTGTCATCCTCTTCCTTGCGGCCCATCTCCTCCAGAGTGGAAGCAGGGAAAGCTGTGAGGAAGAGGGGCAGAGAGCTGAGGGCTGCGGTGGGGGGCTGGCGTGGCAAGCAAGGCTGGCTCAGGGTGCCATGCACAGCTCTCACCTGGATTCAGACTTTTCAACACCACTGAAGTATGTGGAATTTGGTGCTGCTTTTGCTACTTAACAGCTGTTGGTGCTGTGCCCTGGCTGCTGCATCCAGCTCCAGCTGCTGATGCAGTGTAACACCGGGTCAGCTGGGCATTGCACAGTGCTGTGCTGCCCAGTCACTGCCCTCCTCTGGTGCATGCTGCCCATCACAAATGTTCCTATTGTGCTAAAACTCTGCTAATGAGTACGGCTGCTAATTTTAGCGAAGGCACCCGTGGCTTAATGGGTTAAAAAGTCAGGCGCAACGAGCAACTCAGAAGCTGATCTAATTTATTACTTGAGAAATAGTTGGAAGAGCTTGTGACTGCAGGAAAGGGAATTGATAGAAAACATTTTGTCGATCTGCTGTGGGCAGTTTACACTGCTGCCGTCTAATTGTTGTTAATTGAGTCATGACCTTCCCACTACCTGCTCCCCACTGTGCTCCGTGACTGATGCCATCAGTGAGAGTCGAGCCAGGTGTGGGGCGAGAGCATCCCCAGCCCTGAGGATGAAGGAAACACAGCTGGCTTTTCACTGGCCTGACTAATCCCAGGGTTATGGTGACACAATGGGCAGAGACGGAGGAAAACACAGCTGTGTGCAGTCAAACCCTGCCGTGCTGGGTGGTGGCTGGGCACCCGTCATCGGGGTTTGGCTATGGGATGTCACAGGAGGTGTGCTCTGTTTGGAAGCATGTGGGGACTGCGGGCTGTCTGCCCTTGGCTGTAACCCAGCTCCCTTCTCTAAGCACTGCTGTCACACAGAGGAGATGCTGTGTGAGCTCACCGGAGTGGTGGCAGAATTAGGAGAGCTTATAGGGGGCCTGGGGGGGGGAGGGGGGTGAAACGTTATACAAGTGTCTGAGCACTCTTAATAAGATCAGGTCTAACATTACAGAGCTGGGAGTATGCTGGAAGGTGAAAATGAAGCCATGGGAGGGGAAAAGCCATCAAAACACTTGGCTTATGGCATGATGGAGATATGAAAGAAATGGGCTGAAAGCAGCCATGAGCATCGCCCTCCCACCAGCAGGAAGAGATGCCCTGGGCTGCAGGTGCCCTCGGAGCCAAAGCTCCTCTTGTGCACAAGTGCTCGGGAAGGGGAAAGTCTTGCAGCAGAGAGAGCTGAAAGATGTTGTTCTGTGCCAGTCACCGTAGGTGCTTGAATTCCTCCTGAACCTCATTGACCTCCTTAATTAATGCACCTTCGGGATTTCGAGATCCTTGACACCATTTTTTAGAGGTTAATTTAACGTTATGGAAAACTGAATTGACTCAATTGCAAACAGCTGAAGGCTCTGATCTGTGAAATCACCAAAGGCCACCGTGCATTTGACCTTTATTTACTTTCTGTATTCTGACGCGTGTGAAACTCTCAGAACTACAAATATTTACAAACAGCCGTAATGTTACGCCTGGAATCAGCCAAGTTCAAAAGTTCTCCATAAAAATGATCACCCATCAGTAGAAACATCCTCTAAGCCTCAGAAGTGGAGTTTCCACTTTCCAGTCACCCATCCATCCCACCCACTCAATCTCTGCAGAACTGGAATTTCACACAAAAGGAACTCTGAGCAGAGATGTCCAGCTGCAGACGGAAGGTGTTTCTGATTTAGAATGGATTTTCCTTCTAGAAGGAAGACAGCAGCCTGTTTTCTTCAGTCTCCCGTGAATCATCTGTTGGTCTTATAGTTTCTCCTTCTGTCGCTCCATGCATGCAGCATTTGGTTGTGCTGCTGTCTGGAGGGAGGGTTGGATGAATCGCTCTGACTCCATACACGTGTATTTGATTTCCTGCTTTCTCAGTTTTTCTCTATCACTGCGAACAAGTCATTTCCTGCCTCGCTGCCTTCTGAGAGAAAGGGGAGTAAGTAAGTGGTGCTATTTTGAGAGCAAAATAATCCAGTGTTTGAATTGCCCAAGATGTAAAGCTGCATACGTACTCAGGCGATAAATACTCGCCCACCTTCCCCCCTTCCAGCACCAGATTACCTTCTTTTGAACAGTTACCTCTGCTGCTCACAGGACCCATTTGCACAGGGCTCTGTGCTGCCTGGCCGTGTTTCTGCACTTTGGGACCCCGGATTTTCCTGGTGTGTTCTGTGATTTTATCTTTTCCCATCTCTCTCAGTCTGGTTAAGGCACCTGTTGCACCTTGCACTGGTTCAAGACATTGGATACATCTGTGGTTTATTTTTTTGTTTATTCCAACTCTGGTCCAATCTTTCTCAGCATGTGAGTAAACAGGGTTCCATGGATCTGTTGGCTCAGCTGGAGCTTTGCTTTCCGCAGGAATGCAAAACATCATAGCAAAAGTTGGGCCGGCAGCCTTTGAGCTTGCGGCAAGCTTCCTGCCCTCCTGTTGTGTATCAGACCCATCCATGCCCCTCCTCGAGCACAGCCCTATAGGAGGATGACCGTGAGCAGTGAGATGTGCAGAGGGAATGGGACGAAGCACACCCTGCACACACCAGAATGCTCCTTTCAGCTGCCAACCCATGGACGGGTCTGGCTTTGCCTACATTCCCACCTACCTTTAACAGTGCATTAAGAGCAACGTGTTAAGACTGCAGAACGAAATGGACACGCTCATTAAGTGATGTACAAAAGGACCTTCTGAGATGAAAAAGAAGGACATAACACTGCTTTCATTTGTTTCCCCCAGCATAAACAAGTAAGCCGCCTGCAGGACTCTGGTCTGATGAGTTCACACTGAAAGCAGTGGTTCCAACATTACTGCCAACCTTTGGGCTCTTCCACAGACTCAGTCAATAAACACAACTGCTGCCGTGCTCTGTCTGATCCAGCAATGACACGTCGCTGCTTGGAATGTAATGAGTGTTATTATGACCTTGCTTAAATATTTCCTGTAGAAATCTGTTCAGCTCCATATCTCACGGTAACAAATCCTTCTGCAGACAAACATTGGGCTCCTGAATGGATATACTGCACTAGAGGAACGGTTGTAGGCATGATTAATAGTCTTGTGACAAAGTTACATGTGGAGGGGGGAGATATATGGTTCTCTCGTGATCTGCCTTTGGAATTAGAAAGAAGTTTAAAGCAAAATATATATATAAATATATATAGAAAAAGGAGGAGAGCACAATGTCAAAAGGATTTGTTTTCAAAATACACCAAAGCAAGCAGCCTGCGTGTGAACAAATGAGCTGCCAGGCCTCTGTGTTCGGGGACAAAAGACTGAGAAACTGAAAACACAGCTCGCCATTAAAGGCAAATCCACATCAAACCGCCCCACTGATTCAAAAGCAGTGCTGTAACTCGGCGCTCCTCGACGAACCACTTGCAAGATGACATTTATCAATACGAACATTTTGGATTCCTACGGTAGTTCTGAAGTGAAAATGCCAGGTGGCAGCTTTCTATGAATTGCTCAGGATCACACGCGGGGCATCGGACCAACAGCCCTGCGCTCGTAGGTCCTCCGGGATCCTCCCTCCCATTCCGAGCCACCATTCATTCAAAAAACACAGCCAGGTCAGCCAGCACACCGCCTGCTCTGCTGCACGGATCCACCAGGGAACGGTTATGAAGAAATAAGATTTCGCTTACCCAAGTCAGCAGGAACAAAGCCAGTCGGACCCCGGTGCTGCCGCTCTGCTCAACAGCTCTGGGGGGATTAGGGCTGCTGGTGGCAGCAGGCAGAGGCTGCGGGAGGAGAAGAGATGGCTCCGCCGTGCCGGTAGCTAGGCAGCACTTACAGGGAGTCAATTGACACGAGAATAAGCAGCTTGTGGGTGTGCATGTGTGCACACGTCGCCGTGCATCGCAGCCGTGGTACCTGGTGCGGGGAGCGGGATGGAGCGCGCTGCCCGGCTGGACGGCCAGGTGCTGGGCTGCTCCACTGCCCTCCAGCAGCCGGCGTGGAATTGAAACAGCGCTGGGGGAGTAGGGGGGGGAAATGCAAATGCGATTAGCTTTCATCAAATGGATGACTTCTCGGGATTAAAAATATCCCGTTTGCTTCTCATGATGCTGAAGGGCTGCAGGGTTGGGCAGGGCGCACTGTGAGCAG